TTAAATTCTCTGGCAACAGCTCTGGTGGACATTCCTGCATTCAGCATTCCAATTGCAAGCGCCCTCAAAACTTAAGACATGCACATTTTAGATTGACCTTTTATTGTCCCTCAGCAGAAGGTGCACCTGTGTAATGATCATGCTGTTTAATCAGCTTCTTGATATGCCACACCTATCAGGTGGATGGATTATCTTGGCAAAGGAGAAATGCTCACTAACAGGGATGTAAACAAATTTGTACACAAAATCTGAGAGAAATAAGCTTTTTGTGGGTATGGACAATTTCAGGGATCTTTTACATCAGCTGATGAAACATGGGACCAACACTTTACATGTTGTGTTTATATTTTTGTTTAGTATAATATTGCTAATCTTCTAAGTCAAGGCTATTGCCTTTTGTGGATATTTTAGTATATGGTGGTTAGCTAGGGTCTAGACTACCTGTGTTGCTGCTCAATATCCTCATTTTGAAAACAATTGAGAACATTTCCTCAATACTACTACTTTAAACTGTGAGGATGGATGGGGGTGAAGAACATTTACATTTTGGCGCGGCTCGTTTGAAAGCTACGAAGCGTTCTCTCCAGGCAAGGCCATGGTAAACAGAGAACAGCTCATCTATAGTACATGCACTACAGACCAGGGTTGGGCTCAATTCGATGCAGTCAATTCAGGAAGTAAACTGAAATTCCAACAGAAATCTAATGAAATGTATTTGTCACATGAGCCGAATACAACAGGTATAGATCTTATCGTGAAATGCTTAACTAGCATAACTAGTGTATTTCAACACCAATAAACCCACCCGTTTAAAAATGAATTTACTAAATGTCAATCTAGCAAACCAGGCAACTAAAAGCAACTTTCTAAACAATGTTTTGGTTAGGGTCTAGCTTGTTAGCTAGCTAGCTAATGTTAAGTTAGCTGTCTAGCCAGTTCAAATAATGACCATATCATATAGCTGACAACGTCTTCACTTTAGCTAATTTGTCTTCATTATTACAGGAAAATAAACATACAACAAGATCATTATTTACAAGTTATTGGCGAGCTAATTACAGAAAATAGCTTATGGTTGTGAGTGTGACAAAATAAAAGCAAGGCATTCTACCTGAGAATTTTAGAACTTGGACACTGTCTCATTGGCCTAACGTTATATCCTAATTTGACTTTGCTACTGGTTATGTTTTTCACATTACCGTCTCTAGTAAACACATACTATATCAAATAAAATCAAAGTTTATTTGTCAAATACACAGGATACATAAGGTGTAGTGAAATGGTTACTTGCATAGTGGAGTCTTTTGTTTAGACATGTAGCTAGCTAAACAATTAACTATAATCCCAACTCATAACGTTACTACCCTGAATCTGCAAGTAGCTAATCAACCAGGAAAGGACTACCTACACATACTGACCAGCTCATGTTATAGACAGAAGCACGCTACTTGGCAGACCAATCTGAACTCATCTCTCGGCATGTTCAGCCCATCCATTATCTCAGCCAATCATGGCCAGCGGGAAAGTTCCTGTCTTTTTCGGTGGCTAAACCAACTAGGCTCGTTTATTCATATTTACAGATGACATACAAGTTTGTTATTAAGGCACATTAAAGTTCACGTGTTCCAGAAGGCATTTCTGACAAAAAACGAATTTAGATTTAAAAAACTAGTTTATGTTCAAATGCCTCTCCTGTGAAGTAGTGACACGCAACATACACCTAGTTTCCTGAAATGAGTCCCTTTAAGGGGCATCTATTTTTAATGACTTCTCAATTAACAGAAAAAGAGAAGCTATTTATGTCAATCGTGCACATACACGAACACACACACACATACACATGTAAATAGTGCCATACATGCACTCAAACGTGTTCAGTTGGCCTTGCTGTTATGATTTGGCCTTGCTGTTTTGCATTGTTGTTTTCGCTTTTCGGTGCATTCCGCGGGGGGGGGGGGGGGGGGAATGGGGGTATGGGGGTGGCTTGGGGGTAGGGAGTGAAATAATTGTATTCTATTTTATTATCATCATTTATTTTTATCTCGGGGGGGGACTGGTTGAGGGGCAGTTCTCGGGAAACTGCAGGGGGGATCTTGGAGGGCTGGTGGCCTGGCGGTTGGGAGCTTGGGCCGGTGGCTGATAGGTCGCTGGTTCGGGTCCCCGTTTTTTGACCTTGTGGGAGATCTGTCGACGTGCCCTTGAGCAGGACGTTGACCCTGGTTGCTTCTTTGGGTCGCTCTGGATGGGAGTTAGATGACTGAATGTAATGTAAATGTTGAGCGGCTTCACTGCAAGTAAATGGTATGTTTTAATATTCAATCCCAAAAAATATATATAATACTTTTTAAAAGTTAAAGAATAGGATTAAATCAAATCAAATCAAATCAATCTTCTGCTATGAGAGATGGGTTTATTTACAGAGCAATTCAGTTGAGCATTTCCTGTTGAAATATCATAATGTAAAGTGTGACCTAGGTCATTCTGAATTTGGAATGAAGCCCGCATACTGTTTTCTCAACCATGTGAGACCAATTTGAGACCTCTTATGGGATAGACCTTTTCACACAGCCTCATCATTATTAGTTTCACAATTTATCACTTACTTTTCTACAGTCCAGCCAACTATGTAATGGGTGGGTGTGTGGGCTCCCTGCCTGTGCCATTAAACCCCTACAACTCATCCAGAATGCCGCAGCCCGTCTGGTGTTCAACCTTCCCAAGTTCTCTCGCGTCACCCCGCTCCTCCGCACACTCCACTGGCTTCCAGTTGAAGCTCGCATCTGCTACAAGACCAAGGTGCTTGCCTACGGAGCTGTGAGGGGAACGGCACCTCCGTACCTTCAGGCTCTGATCAGTCCCTACACCCAAACGAGGGCATTGCGTTCATCCACCTCTGGCCTGCTGGCTCCCCTACCTCTGCGGAAGCACAGTTCCCGCTCAGCCCAGTCAAAACTGTTCGCTGCTCTGGCACCCCAATGGTAGAACAAGCTCCCTCACGACGCCAGGACAGCGGAGTCACTCACCACCTTCCGGAGACATTTGAAACCCCACCTCTTTAAGGAATACCTGGGATAGGATAAAGTAATCCTTCTACCCCCCCCACCCCCCCCAAAAAACAAAAAAAAACATTGTAAAGTGGTTGTCTCACTGGCTATAAGGTGAATGCACCAATTTGTAAGTCGCTCTGGATAAGAGCGTCTGCTAAATGACGTAAATGTAAATGTAATGTTTGTTTCAATCTGGTAATGTAACAAATATATTTGAACTAATCTCACTTCTGCAGAAAGTGTCTCACTGCCCTCACGTTTGACCATTTCCTTATTTATTTCCTCTGAAATTGTATAATTGTTAAAGAGAGATATCCTCTTTTTAATAAGTGTCTGGTGAGTGGCAGAATGAGTCAGACATGTTATTGTAGCTTAGCTGAGAGTGTCTGCTTGAGAAAAATTGTTGTTCTGATACTCTCACTCTGAAAGTTTTAAAGATGCGCTATGCAGAAATCACTCCGCCATTTCCTGGTTGCTAAAATTCTAATAGTTCGCCTAATTTCAGTTTATGTGACAAAACAAGCAAGCATAGTGTAGAGAATCATTGTACCATCTAAACCGCTGTGAAATATATTTTCCATAACCAAAAATATTGAATTTTCAGCTGTTTGACGCTGGTGTACAAAAGTAAAAACCGCAAAAACTAAACTTAAGAATGAGAAGCATAGCGGTAGCGCACATTGAACAGATCTACCACTTGAAAGATTTGCTTTCAATGAGAATGACAGATCTATAACAAACATTTCTGTGTGAATTTGGTCGGGTCGCCCAAAAAGTGACATATTGCAGCTTTAAATATATATTTATAAGCTTTATATTAATTCCAGTTTGTCTACAAATTAATCATTGATATGTTGGATTCACATCTCTATCTTGACAAAAACTCAAAGTTAAAGAATAGGACTAAATCAAATCAAATCAAACTTCTGCTATGAGAGATGGGTTTGTTTACATGCACTTTATATAAAGTTTGATTTTACTTAGTCCTATCCTTTAACTTGAATTTTTGGTTGAGATGGAGATATGAATCCAACATAATAATTATTAACTTGTAGATTACATTTCAAATCAACCAAAGTTTGAAACCCTTGGCCTATATGTATTGTCTATTTTTTGTTGAATCCTGGGTTGAACCGAAAGAATAGCTGTTGATGACTTTGCATAAACTATCTAGGCCTAAATAATGTAATTGATGATATATGATTCATAAAGTATGGTTACATTTCATTTGCTCTGTTAAACCTACTCTTTGAAATGACTTCGATAGCAACAGTGAATCCTATTACATTTTTAAGTGGAGAATTCTGGATAATCATTCTCACGATAGCACATTCCTGTATACTTATGCTAAAATGTTTATTCTATTCTGTTGAGCCATTTACTTTATGTTTGTATTCTTATATTTTATAATGTATTATTGTTGTTGCATTTTCGAGAAGGAACCTGCAAGGAAGCATTTCGTTGAGATTGTGTATAGAATGAGTATCCCGTACATACGACTAATAAAACTTGAAAGTGAAATATTCGTACTAGTCAAATATCAAAGCATTCGGGATAATGTGTAGAATTGTTCCACATTCATGCAATGAGTTCTGGGATATTAGAATCTTCTTGTTTTAACCTCTGCTATCTTCAACCTAGCTCATTCTCAGGAAATTCTCTAACCCTAACCCTAACTCTACCTCATGAAAAGATGATATACTGTATGATTGATCCTGTTTCACACAGTCAAAGTTAACTTTTTTTCCCTGCTCAAACTAATGCATTCAAGGGTTTTCCCCTCATTTTGTTTGGGTGCATGATGTTGTTAAACACAACAATCACATTGATTAGCCTAGAAGCATTTGACCACTGATTCAATGTATAGTTTGTGTGTGGTGTAGTATTGTGTAGTTACAGTGTAGTATCGTGTAGTTACAGTGTGATAATGGTAGGCTGTAATGTAGCCTACCTGCCGATGTCCTTGGCTGTCTGTTCGTTGGGGCAGTTGATGAGGAGAACAGAGTGGTGTCCAGGTATGTAGCTCCCTGAGATGGAAGAATGGAGCTTTACACCCAGGGACCTCAGCATGGGATACATAGACATGGTCAACATCATTCCCTGGAGAAGAGGGAGGAGGAGGAACAGCAACACAGTTCATTTTAATATTCCAATCGCAAGATGTCACCCACCTTGTGATTTTTATTTATTTATTTAATCAGGCAAGTCAATTAAGAACAAATTCTTATTTACAATGACGACCTGGAAAAGGCAAAAGGCCTCCTGTGGGGACGGAGGCAGGGATTAAAAAATTAAAAAATTCTAATAAAATGGACAACACAGACAGAAGACACTGGCAACAGCACAAATACAACAGCAAATAAACAGTGGATGTTTGTGTGAAGTAAAACAACATGCTTCCTTACATAAGGCAACGCAAACTCGTGACATCGGGTGACAACAAGAAACAACTACGTCTCAACAATCTGTTAATCTATTTGTCCTTTGAACTCCTCCAGGGACACCAGGTTCCTTTAGTTTTAGGTAATTCCAAGACCAGGGGGCTGAGTAATGATAGGACCTTTTTCCATGCTCAGTTCTAATTTTCGGGACCGTTAGCATAAAACAAGATTGAGATCTAAGCATGTATGAGTTTTCATTTCGAGCTAGAAGAGAGGATAGATAAAATGGCAGTTTTCCCAAAATGGCCTTATAAGGAACAATGTACTGATGGTATTCCTCTTATGCCACATAATAAGTGTAATGCTTTCACATATCACTCCAGGTAGTACAAATTGTCCTCAAAGACAGATCTAGGATCAGATACCATATCTTTGACCCTGCATCAGCGGTTAGGCTATTGGGCAATATCCCACAATCACATCTCTGAGTTGAGGTCACTTCAGGGCAAGTTGTAGAAGGAGTCAGGACATGGTCCCTGATGGTCATTCATTGGTCAGTGAACAATACCAGGTATTATCCCTGCTGTCCCATCAGAATGCTGGAATGCTGTGTCCGGGCTTCATTTTGGTGACTCTCTCTGTTCTCTATCCTCTTATTATTGTGCTGCCACAGCTGAATGGCTAGTTGGAACAGACAGTGGCCAATTTATAATTCTCTCTCTCTCTCGCTGCAGCCTCTCTCTGTCTCTCTGCAAGCAGCATGGCATGAGATGGAGTGATTGGCATTTCACTCAATAACAAAGTGACCCCTCCCCCCAAAAACATCTGTCAATAATTGTTTTGTACAAGAGAAGCATTTCACTTTAATAAAATGAATCTGTGACTATTTGGTGAGGGTTGTCCGCTATATATTTTATTGTTATAGGTAACTGATCTTATATAGCCATTTGTGAATTATTGCAACAAAACTGCATTCCAAAACATTATTAATTTGCCATCTGGATACATTTATATAATTGTATTCAACAAAATAATGAACTTACCATACAGATCACGAACAATCCCGAACGACAGAGAGTTTGAGCTAGGGACTGCTTGTGATAGCGTGGGGACAGCCAGTCCATTTTACTGCCAGCAACAAATGTCATTCCGACCAAGAGTTATTCAGACTGTCAGGCCCGGGTTGGAGAGGGAGAGAACAGATGGCGCCTTGTGCGCTCAACTTGACCTGGAGAGGGTGGAGAGGTTCTCTAAGCAGCTATGCGCATATACCCTCACCAATAAAGTTCTCGCTTCATAGTCCGGTGGCCATTTCTTCTGAATAATAGTCTATTTTTAATGTGCTAAATCTGCAACGGTTAACTTTTCTGCTGGTGAAGCCACATTTCTGCACAGTGACAGGTAGGTCGGATAGGATAGATATAGACAGATATATGCGCTTTTCATTGGATGTTTGACACTTCCTGATACACCAGTGTCCAACCAAACACTGGCATTGAACATAGGGCGCTACCCCCGAACCCTGTCCATAAGCGGCTTTCGCTCCCTAATAAACATAAGTGCTTTTCACTGGATGCGAGGTAGAGGCTAGAGGGGTAGGCCTATGTTGTGTGCAGATTAAAAATATAAACGGTTTTATTTTAGTGGGTGAAGTAATACTGTAAGCGGGGGATCTTTATGCCCACGATGCAGATGGCTAAATCAGTCTGCTAATACAGGACTACTAAAGGCCTAGTGCACTACTTTTGTGAAAAATTATTATTCTGATTTTACAGGGGGTGCTGCAGCACCCTCAGCACCCCTACTTCCCGCGGCTATGCCCGCTCATTTTAAAGGAACAATTTAGTAGATCTGCCTAAATATATAGGCCTAGGCCTATGATAAGACATTTCCATTAACCTGTCCAGAAAACGACATCAGAACATCAACAACACAACCATGGTTGAGTTAATTGAAAAGGCAATTTATCATTATAAAATAGAAAACGTTTTATGATAAGAAATTACATGCCCTAAAAATATTGCTATACAGTAACTCACCTGTTGCATCATTTTAACAAAGAGAGTCACACACAGAGAATACATAGATGTTAATTTGAGGAACTTTTCAGACAATACTGTTGTTCCTTTATTCATCAAGACAATACTGGTTTTGTCCCAAATGGCACCCTATTCCCTATGGGCCTTTGTCAGAAGTTATGCACCATAAAGGGAATATGGTGCAATTTAGGACGCAAACACTGTCTTCCTATAACCCTCAGAGAGGAGGCACATTTGGGGCATGGTGGAGGACTTTGACAGGGTACACCCTTTACTGCACAAACACAGATACTGTAACGGTAAGATCCTACTAGAAGAGGAGAGGTTTACTTCAAACACTGTCTGTGGCATGATAGTGTACAGTCAGTTGTTATAAACTGACACCAATAATTATATGACTAGGCCTATATGCCATTGTTATTGTGTTATTCAGCCGTTTTGACGGAGGTAGTCTGGTGATACGAAACCGACAAAGCAGAGAAGACGATAAATAAAAGGATAATAAACAGCCCCATGATTTCCCCTGGTTGAGTTATAGTTGGTAATAGCCAGTCAACTGACTTCTGCTTTTCAGGAGGATGAACCAGAACCACACACTTGTCTCAAAGGGTCTTGTCTAGAAGGGTTACAGTTTATGTCAAATTGAGGATAAAACATATATATATTTTTGCATTTTAGCTCACCCTAACCCTAACCCTTTTTCTAACCTTAACCTAATCCTCCTAACCTGCTACGTTAATTCTCTTAACCTGCTGCGTAAGTTCTCCTAACCTGTTACAAAAAGGTCAATTTTAACATAGGCTGTATCTGATTGTATCTGAATCGTGGCTGTGTGATTCTGTGCCTGATTCAGATGTTCAGTTGATTGGGTACAATATTTATAGAGCTGATAGAGTTGGTAGAGGTGGTGGTATCGCGATTTATGTAAAATGCTGCTTAAATGTTTCTGTGTCCATATCAACCTCTGTCCCAAAGCAATATGAATGTCTAGTTTTAAATGTGGTACTTGGTAATAATGCTCTTTTAACTCTAGCAGGGGTATATCGCCCAGCTCCTCCTTGTACTCTATGCAAATTATCTGATATACTGTCTAACTATGCAAACTCTGAATTACTGATTTTGGGAGATTTTAACCTGGATTGGCTTTCACCAGTATCCGATAAATTAAAAGATATTTGTACTGAGCTAAATCTAACTCAGCTGATAACTAAACCAACCCGTCCCAACTTTAAGAATCCAGTAAAATCTACTCTACTAGACATTATTCTAACAAATACCCCCCATAAATACACAGCCAGTGGGGTTTTTTCAAATGATATCAGTGACCACTGCTCTATTGCTTGTATTAGAGATACCAGGCTGAAACACTCTGATCCCTGTATAATCTCTAAGAGAAATTATAAACATTTCTCACAGCAAGCTTTTATCCTTGACTTATATCACTCTGAGCTTTTATCCACTTGCTGCTTTCTGGACCCGGTTTTAGCCCTTGCTTTTTTCTCTTCTATTGTTACCTCTATGTCTGATAAACATGCCCCGCTTAAGAATCACAGATTAAGAAACCGAACCAGTTCTTGGTTCTTTCTTGAATTGTCAGGTCTTTTTCTGCAAAATAATCGGGCCTGGGCCTTGACGAGGAAAACAGGTACTCCAGCTGATTGGCTGTTTTTTAGGCAATTGAGAAATAAATATACTGCAGCTGTCAAAAAGGCAAAATCAAATTACTTCCTTAATGCTATGACAGATTCTGCAGGAGATCCTGCAAAATTCTGGAAAACTGTTAATTCACTGAAACAGGGGAATTCTGCTGTTTCTCTTCCTAAGCAAATTATCTCAGACTCCTGTATTCTAAGTGAAAAAAATGATATTTGTGATGCTTTTAATAAGTATTTCATCTCTGCTGGTTTGTTATTTGAAAAGAAAAGTGGCCATTGTGGTACTTGCCAGTTAGTTGATTTTTCATCTTGCTTTTCAACTGTTACTCTGAAAAATGGTAACCCTGTTTTTAGTTTCCAGAAAATAACTGAAGCAGAGGTTCTAGCTGCCCTGTGTGCCATTGATACTAAGAAATCCTTAGGCGCTGACAATTTAGACCCGTACTTACTTAAGTGTGCTGCACCTATCATTGCTGGTTCAGTGACACACATTTTTAATCTAACATTAAGCACAGGAAATATCCCTAAGGTATGGAAAGCAGCTTTTGTTCTGCCATTACATAAGGGAGGTGACGGTAGTGATTTGGATAACTATCGACCCATCTCTAGGCTCCCTTGTCTGGCAAAGATCCTAGAATCTATAGTCAACAAACAGTTACAATCTTTTCTTTCTGTTAACAGTATTTTTAGCCCCAATCAATCTGGTTTTAGATCTAAACACAGTACCACATCGGCCACTATGCTTGTTGTAAATGATATTGCAAATGCCTTAGATGATAGAAAGCACTGTGCTGCGTTGTTTGCAGATTTGTCAAAAGCTTTTGACACTGTAGACCATGCTATCATTTTGAGTAAGCTGTCATCTATAGGACTGGGCACTGATGCCTGTCGATGGTTTTATGACTATTTTAAAGATAGAATTCAGGCCGTCATGGTCGACGGGGTCAAGTCTGACCCCTTACAGTTACTTAAAGGGGTCCCTCAGGGTTCAATAATTGGCCCACTATTGTTCTCACTTTATATAAACAACATTGGTGATGATGTCAGATATTGTAAATTCCATTTAAATGCAGATGACACAGTGATGTACTCTATTGCTCCAACAGCGGACCAAGCTTTAATGCAGTTGGAGTCTGATTTTAGGATACTACAGGGGTCTCTTTTACAGCTTAAACTTGTTTTAAACGCTAAGAAAACAAATGTCATGTTTTTTTCTAGGTCTAAACTCTCAATTAGAAACACTTTTGTAATCACTAGCTTGGATGGTACTCAAATCAAACAGGTCTCTGCATATAAATACTTAGGGGTATGGTTAGATGATAGGCTTTCTTTTAAAAAACATGTTACTGAATTGGGAAAAAAGCTCAAATTCAAGATAGGGTTCCTTTACAGAAACAGGGCTTGTCTGTCCTCCGTAAATAGAAAACAAATTGTGCAGGCTACTTTTATGTCCGTTTTAGATTATGGTGATATTATCTATATGCATGCATCGGCAAACACATTAAAACCACTGGATGCTATTTACCATTGTGCACTCAGGTTTATCACGGGTGATAGTTACAAAACTCATCACTGTATCCTATATCAACATGTGGGTTGGGCCTCTCTATCTGTGAGGCGAGAGCAACATGCTCTCTTGTTAATTTATAAAGCACTTCTTTTAAAACTACCTCCATATATATCATCATTAATTTCCACTAGATATACTAATTTTAAAACCAGATCACAGATGTGGATTACATTAGAGACTTCTGTGGTCTCCACAGAGTTGGGTAGGACTGCCTTCAGTTCATTTGCACCTTATTTATGGAACAAACTGCAGATCCAACTTAAATTAGACACTCTGGTGTCCCTTGCCCATTTTAAAAATGTAATGGAGGATCAATATGATGTTGTCTGTGATTGTTTCTGTTGAATTGTGTTTTTGTTTTGTATGTTTGAAATGTTCTTGTCTGTATGTCTAAAACTGTACATGTCAACATGTTTACACAGGGCACAGCCGTAAAAGAGATCCAGGTCTCAGTCTGTTTTTCCCTGTTAAAATAATGATTTAAAAAATAAAATTAATAAAAAATTATAGACAAAACCGTCTCAAAGCCTCAAGTAAAGTCTGTGTTGCCAGAATGCAGAGTGGCCACTAGATGACGGTGTGGATTCACATATATTCTCCTTCACGCTAATCCTGCCTCCCAATGTAAAAACGTGACATTCAGGGCACTCAATCCCCATTTCAAAATAGGCAATAACCAGAATATACTGTAACGAAACAAGGCTTGTTCCAAGAATGAAACTAGTGTGACTCATCCGTCCTATTCAATCTCCCTCCCCACCCCTGTGCTTCGTGTGTGTGTGTGTGTGTGTGTGTGTGTGTGTGTGTGTGTGTGTGTTTGGCTGGCTATCTCATCCTGCTACGGTGCAGATCAGAGAGTTCACAACAGGGGGCACAATCAAGGC